AGCGATCAGTAAGAGTATCGTGATCATTATTGAAATATGAAACTTGTAGCTAGAAGTGCTACATGCTAGAATGCGATTATATCACATTAGAACATGAAGGAAGGTATAGTCTGTTCTGGAATTTGACTCTAAGAGACCCGAGTCTAAGCATTGAAACATACGATGAGAGGTCATTAGAACGAGACCCGTCGATCTATTGTAGAAATCAAAGAACTTATTCTTAAGTTTTTGAGAAGAAGGAGTCTCCAATAAGGATCAAGATTGTGACTTGAAGGTCATAGTTTAGAGTCTAACATAATTTAGAGAGTGGGTGCAAGATCGAAGTTATAGTTATTACCTAGGATGAATAAATAACATATGGAATCATTATACAAGCCCTGTTTCGTTGATGATTCTGGGACGTAATCATCCTAAGGGGGAGATAATTGTAACGCCCGTAGATCCGGGCTAGTCAATTTAGAGACAATGAGCGTCAAAAATGACTTTTTGATGAAAGATTATTTAGAATAAATAATCTTAACCAAGTTTTAAAATACATATCAAGGGTTCCGTACATATAAAGAACGCCGAAATCCGAGTTATAACGAAGAAGTTATGGTTCGTCGAAGTTTTTCGGCAAAACCGGCACGGCACCGGGAGACGTAAATAGTGAATTTAGGATGGAGGACTTTTTATCCTTAGAAATCTAAACAAAAGTTGTAGTATACGAAAAACCGAGAACGTACAAAAAAAGAACGCCAAAATCTGACTTCGTATGAGGAAGTTATGAATTTTCTAAGATTCGGCATAGCAGTGCACGGCCCGAAACTCGAATTTTACTTCGAGCGGTTTTTGGCCTACGCGACCTAAATGAGAGTTGAAGACCTCATTACTAGGAACTCAACGATAAAAAGACAGACGAAAACGATGTTCGTATGTAGAAGTTATGAATTTTACGCGGACATTTAACAGTATAATCTCCTCCTACTGTTAAATTTAAGATTGCTAGAGAATTAGCCGACGGAGTCTAAATAAAAGTTGTATATCTTGTTTTTACCTAGGCGTGGATATAAAGAACGTCGAAAAGAGAGCTCGTATGCGAGAGTTACGATTTTTCTAAGTCGGGAGGGTGTTGTGCGAGTTTGGGTGACGTGACGCGATCACAGCCGTTGCTTCCTCCCCAAGGCTAGCCACCAGATGGTGACACCTGGCCTGGAACTCGACGAGTTGGAGGCCAACTCGACGAGTTTTGGTGATTTCCAGCCTATAAATAGAGTGCCTGGGCACCCTCATTTCTCACACCTTCCAACTTCACTTTCTCTCTCTACTTTCTCTCTCTAGCCTCCCTTAAGCCCCCTAAAGTCTAGGTAAACCCCCTAGCACCTGAAGGAAGCCCCGAGGCTCCCGGAGTCCCGAGAAAAGAGCCTTTCGGCTCGGGAACGCTGCTCCAGCGAAGCCCGGTTTTGCGAAAAACCCGCTGTAAGTGAGCTATGTCTACCCTATCTTTAGTATAGCTTATGTTTTAATATAGTAACATTATTAGGACCTTAAAATAATTATTTAAGTTATTATTATGAGTTATATAAGAGTGTTGCTTAACGCTTATATAATAATAATAATAGCTAGACTATTAATTAGTCGCGGTTAACGTTAGACTAAACTCTAGTGATAATGATACTAGGTTTTGTCCGAGGGAAATTGTTTTAAGATTAACGAAACGCTGTCCGAGTACCGAGTGACCACCTTATCAGGTGAGTGCATAGTTACTTTCATCTTACACATAGATATGAAGTATTTTAATATAAATTACGTGTTATGTGTACATATTGTCTGAATACTTGATGTCTATGCCGAGTGAAAGATTTTTATACATGTTTTAAATGATTTAAACTGTATATGTATTTTATATCTACAAAATGTGTTGGGTAAAACATGGGTAGATGAAATAGTTGCTGTGTGATAACACGATAAAAGACATCAATGTTGGCAGTGATCCAGTCATCTAGTGGAGTATAAAGGACGACCACGGACTATACTAGACAGTCCAGTGGAACGCTAGCAGGCTCGTAATCTGTAGGTGTTTTTGAACTAGGTGCTCACTAGATATTTTTGAACTAAGTGTGTTCACTAGGTATTTTTGAACTAAGTGTGTTCACTAGGTATTTTGAAGTGAGTGTGTTCACTAGGTATTTTTGAACTAAGTGTGTTCACTAGGTATTTTTGAACTAAGTGTGTTCACTAGTTACTTTTGAACTAAGTGTTTACCAGATGTTTTGGACTACGTGTTCACCAGTTGTAATCTATAAACCTTGGTAACGATGGACTTCGTACCAAATTCCTTAGGATGATCCTTAGGAATAAATAAACGAGGAATAGTTGATTCTTAGGATAGATCCTTAAGAGTAAAGAAGATAATGGGGATGGGTAATTGGGTTGATTGTTTGATGTTTAAACATAATAATTATATTATTGTGGGTTGAAAACCCTATGTACTCACCAGGTTTCCCAACCTGACCCACTCAGTTTATTTGAATCACAGGTGTCGATATGAAGTTACATTACACTGACAGATTAAGGAGACATAAATCACTAGTGATAATGAATGTAAGTTTTGTTTATGCTTATGTTTTTGTATTGACGATGACACCCAAATGTTTTAAAATGAATAAAAATACATTTCTTCAGAAATGCTTTGATAACGTACTTATCATGTTTTACTGGGAACAAATTCCGCAACATTTTTATCAAAAGAAGTACTCTGATTTTTATAAAGCATAAACAAAATCGGTCTTTTCTGGCCGTGAAAATGGGGATGTCATAGTCCCAATGGTCCAAAATGGGTTCTTTATCCGGATACGACGCATTCGGGATCTACCACCGGCTCCAACAAAAGGCCGAAAACGTTCGAGTCGGACATTGGTGTGAACCTCGACCTCAAGATGAGTTCGACACCACTGAGGGGGAGGGTCCATCGGACGTCCAACTTCGTCGACCACCAGGAAGGGACAAAGCGAGAAAGGGAGCGTCTTCTAGCGGAAAAACAACCAACGAGGACATACTAGCGGAGAAAATAGACAAAACTCTAAACTTTTTACAAAAAAAAAAAATTTGAATCAACGGAGGAAGCTAGTCGGCAGCAATTGGCACTCACCGATCTTCAAATTATAAACACGGTGCCGCTACCGAATATTGACCCGAAAAATTTAAGGGTGTTTTTAAAAATTCAACAAGAAGTTCTCGACAAATATCACAACTAGATTATATGTTTTTTTATGTTTTTTAGTAATTTAAGTTTAATTTTCTATGTTATTTTTAGTATTTTAGTTTTCGTTTTCTATGTGTTTTTATGTTTTTTTAGTAATTTAGGTTTAATTTTCAATTTTTTAAGTTTAATTTTCTATGTCGTGTCGTGTTCATGTTAACTGTAAAAAACACGATGTCGTGTCGTGTCGTGTTCGTGTTCAAAATTCGACACGAAATTGACACGATTTAGCAGTTCTTTATCGTGTTTTTCGTGTTTGTCGTGTTTTTCGTGTTATATTTGATAAAGTATTCATTAAATAAACTAGTTTTTAGTATATGATATATTTTTCGTGTCGTGTCGTGTTTGTCATTTTTTAATTCGTTCGTTTTCGTGTTAGTTAAAAAAACACGACATCGTGTCGTGTCGTGTCGTGTTCGTGTTACATAAAACATTGTCGTATCAGACAGAAACACGAAACGATAGCACAATTTGTCACCCCTACCATTTCCTATGTCTAATGGGTTGGTGGTGATATTGACGTGGCGTAGATGTGACAGTACTTTTTCGGTGGGTTGGTAGTGACTACAGGGGTGGACCTAGTAGGTGTCCCGGTGTGGCACCTGCAACACTTAGGTAGTGTTTGTTTTTTGTCTGCAGATCTGCGTGGTCTCTTCTGTCTGCGCCGCGCAGACCACGCGCAGACATTAACCTTTGCAGATTGTTTGTTTTTTTGAAGACTGCAGACCTAAAAATGTCTGCGCGCCCTCTTCTTGGCGCAGATGTGGACCAGAGTCTTCTAACATCTTCAGACATCTTCTAGCCTAAAAAAACATATATATCTTCATTTTTTTAAGTTTTTTTTTATTTATATTTTTTCCAACTTTATTAATGATAAACAATTTGAAAAAAAAATTACAAAACTTAAAAAAAAAACGTTCGACGATACAAACATTATATTTTTGACAAATTTATAAATAAAGATTTATTACAATAATAGTCGTTGAAGTTGTTTATATAAATATGAAAAAAAATCATAATATATTCTTATATTTTTTTTGCCAAATTTTGTAAAACATTATTTAATACAGTATCTTCAATTTCTCGAGAAAATATTTATGGTACGTTTTTAATGGATTTAATTGAAAAAATCGAAGTTTATTTCTATCCATTTATGTATCAAATTCTTGATCACTAATTATAATGTTTAGTTATAACTTTGCAATCAAAGTTGTTGGTTTTTATCAAATATATACGTTAATTCATACCATTTTTATTTTTATTTTTTATACAATAATACATAAAAGTTGATCTAGATTCGTTAATTATTTATAACAAAGTCATAAAAATATTTAAAAAATCACTTTGAAGTTTAAAAAAATAAGTTTATTTAGATTTCAGTTTATTTTAGTAGCCCGCAGATGTTAAAAAAACAAACAGTCTTTTTTTTTCAGACTGCAGACGTTTGGTCCACCTCTTCTACTGCAGAGGTCTACAGATGTGGTCCGCAGACTGCAGACATTTTGCCTCAGAAAAAACAAACAGGACCTTACTTTTTCTGTCTGCAGTGGAGAATTTTTTGATTTTTCGAGTCTTTTACCTATTTTTTCTACATCGCGAACACCTATTTCAACCTCGGCAATAACTCTAAAAAATTTTGGATCGAAAACAATTTTATAAGTAATTGTTAATTGTTGATTAATCATATTAATTTCTTGCGAAAGTCCAATCACCTATTGTTGCTCCGGTAGGCCAACTTTCCGGTGACGAATCTTCACCAATGGTCAATGGCAACGTTGCAGATCTTTTATGTCTATTAAAACACTGCAACACCCTTAGATCCGTCACACAAGTTCACACCCACATCTTCAAAACCGGGCTCGACTCCGATGCATTCATCACCGGAAACCTCATCCTCCACTGCGCCACACTCATCTCCGATGCTCTCCACCACGCTTACTCTCTCCTCCTCCACCTCCCAAATCCAGACGCATTCATGTACAACACCGTCATACGCGGATTCTCCGACTCAGATCACCCACACAACTCTTTCACTACCTTCATCGACATGCGTCGGAACTCCAACAACCTGCAACCAGACAGCTTCTCCTTCGCCTTTTCTCTCAAAGCAGCTGCGAATATAAGATCTTACAACACCGGGATCCAACTCCATTCTCAAGCAATACTCTACGGATTACACAACCATCTATACGTCGGGACAACGCTTGTCAGTATGTACGCAGAATGTGGGTGGATCTGTCATGCCCGGAAGGTGTTCGACGAAATGTTTGAACCAAATGTGGTGGCGTGGAATGCCATGATTACAGCGTGCATTAGGTGTTACGACGTAAAGGGCGCTGAGACATTATACAAACGTATGCAGGTTAGAGATATACACTCCAGTAACATCATGTTATCCGGGTATATGAAATCAGGGGAAGTTCACCTCGCCATGAAATTGTTCTCCGAGATGCCATTAAAAGACGATGTTTCCTGGAGCACAATGATCACAGGGTTTTCTCACAACGAATGTTTCAATGAAGCTTTCGATCTCTTCCTACAGTCTCACAAGCTCGGATCAAAACCTAACGAGGTAAGCCTAACTGGAATTCTCTCTGTTTGTACACAATCTGGTGAATTCCAATTCAGCAAGATTCTCCATTGTTATTTAGAGAAATCTGGGTTTGTTTCAAGAATTTCTATCACCAATGCGTTAATGGACACTTACTTTAAATCCGGGAACATAAAAATGGCTCGTTTAGTTTTTGAAAAAATGCCCGGAAAAAAGAACTTAGTTTCTTGGACAACAATGGTGGCTGGAATAGCAATGCAAGGGTATGGAGAAGAAGCCATGAAGCTCTTCCATGAAATGGTGGATTCCGGGGTTAAACCCGATGGAATTGCATTCATTTCCATTCTTTACGCGTGTAGTCACGCGGGGTTAATCGAACACGGATGTAAATACTTTTCCATGATGAAAAATGAGTATGGAATTGAACCGAGTTATGAACATTATGGATGTATGGTTGATTTATATGGGCGAAGTGGGGAGCTTAAAAAGGCGTATGAGTTTATAATGAAAATGCCAATTGAGGCGAATGATGTGATTTGGAGGACACTTTTGGGGGCTTGTGGGATTCATGGTGATGTGGAGTTGGGTGAGGAAGTGAGGAGGAGATTGTTGGAAGTTGATCCTAATGATTCGGGTGATTGTGTTTTGTTGTCGAATATATATGCAAGTGTTGGGAAATGGAAAGATGTTGCGGGTGTTAGACAGATGATGGATAGTCAGGGGTTGATGAAAACCCCGGGATGGAGTATGAGTGAAGTTAGTTGAGGTGAAATGTGTTACAAAGTGATAATGCAATTCCACATGCTTTATATATTGATGCAACATATTTAAATATGGTTGACATAATGTCAAAAAATTTCAACCATGCATCACTACATGTCTTTTCTAACCAATATCTAACAACTAACTTGAAAGAACCCCTTTCTATACTTTCATATTTCTGAAAGACCCAAACTTTCATACTTGACAATATAATTACTCCAAAACATGCTACATGCATATTCATAAAATAATATTTTTACATTGATAAAGTCATTACAAAAGATTGGATACAAACCGACTATGTTTTAAGATTTTACATGACTACCAAGAATATTGTAAATCTATACAAACCTAAACCAAAATACAAAAAATAATATTACAACTATTCTAAGTCTTCCAACTATACTGGGTGCTTATTGCCTGCATTATGTTAAAACATTGGGATGGGTAAGCGATAACGCTTAGTGAGTTCAATAATAGATACAATATAACGTTATGCCATATATATACCAATATGGCAGAAGCAAATAGGAGCAAGGAACAACGAAGGCATAATGTGATAAGCTTTCCCTAACAATTACTGATTTGATTCAAAGATATACAATCATTGAGACATAACAATTTCCATACTTAATATACATCAATAACGCTTTGGCCAAAATGGCACAGAAGACATACAACTTCGAATTAACATTTTTGTAGATTTCAGGTTTTCACGCCTTGTCTAACCATCTGTCAATGCCATAGAATAGAGTCATTCACTTATTGGGGGACATGCTCTACATGGTCAGAGGCTACATACCAGTACCACTGTGAATCTGAGTTCTTAAACTGATCACATGGTCAAAGGTATAGCTTTGCTATCATAAATAGCAGAAATAAAAATAACACGGGAAAATACTCAGGAATATTATTCTACCGAAGCCAAAGTGATGCCTATGTCATACACTTCAAGTCAGAGGTACAGTCTTGCTATAAAAATAACGGATACAACAACTCGAGATGATAACATGGAAAAGCACATAGCACATATAACACATAACATACAATTGTTTCTACATATTAAACTCACCTTAAAACAACCGGGGGTCAAAATAATAATTTGGGCAGCACTTCGGCTCTAAATATGACTTTCGTCGTTGAAAACCGGGAGTTTTCTTGAAAACCGGGCCTGCGATGGTAGAGCTTCGAAACCGAAAAGATAAATTTTTCGGGCTTCTCGGGAATCTCGGGGCGTGTTTCGGGCATTGGAATTAATCCCGGGGCTTCGGGGGAAGTCAAAATATTAAAAATATGGAATAATGGGTGAGAAATGGCAAAATTCTCAAAATACCCGGCTAATCTCGCAAGGCCACTATTTATAGGGGAGGAGATCCGGAGCTTCGGATCCGAGGCTAGGAGGGTCAGCAGCTGCGAAGGCCACGCGGCAGCCGGAGCTCGGTTCGGAGGCCAGAAGTCGCGCATGCGAGGCGGCCAGGTGCGAGGCTCGGAAGGGTGACACGGGGCGAGCTTGCGAGCCACCAGCTCCTCAGACGCGTCATCGACTTCGGACAGATGGAAGCCTCTTAGTGGACCGGACTTCGGTCCAATGGGGAAAGGGGTGACGACTTCGGACCAATCAGAGGGTGCCACGCGAGGCTACGGTCCAATCAGAAGATGCCACGTGGATCAACACTATTCATGCGAAAATTAAATGAAAATGTGCCCAATCTTGTAAAATCCATAACTTTCTCATACGGGCTCTGTTTTTGACGTTCTTTATATGCATGCGTAGAGAAAATTATGCTCTACAACTTTCGTTTAGACTTCGTCGGAAAATTTTGACTTTATTTTTATATTATTATTTTTAACAGACCGAGACTGGTAAATCCGTTAAAAATTCATAACTTCTTCATCCGACGTCCGTTTTCGTCAGACTTTTTACCGTTGTACTACTAATGACGATACCTTCGATTCTCGTTTAGGTTGTGTCGGCTAAAAATACTCGATCTAAAATTCGAGTTTTTAGCTGTCTACTGCTAAGCTGAAACTTGTAAAAATCATAACTTCCTCATACGAAGTCAGATTTTGGCGTTCTTTTTATCAAAATTATCGGTTTAACGATTACTACGACTTTCAAAAACTCACTTTTTACGTCATTCGGCACCGTGCCGGTTTTATCGCAGATCTTTGATTGGTCATAACTTCTTCGTTATAACTCGGATTTCGATGAGGTTTTCGCCTACATGTTTCTAACGAGATTATCTACAACTTTCAATAATAAAATTTTACTTATTTCAAATTTTATATTTTCGCTAAATTTCACTAATTGGCTTTTAATTGGAATCTCATAAGACTTCCAATATTTTATGAGTGATTCTAAACATAGTTTTACTTCATTTCTAGTAAAAACTATCTGTTTAGAACTCAACACTCAATTTCACATAATATTTCATAATATTTTTAACTTTTCAAATTACATAACACGATTTCAAAACGTGTATGTTACATAACTCAACAACCATAAACCAACACTTGAATCAAAGAATGCTGACATGGAAATATAACACAATAATATACTCCAACAGTAATTGTAAAAAAAAAATTATTTACAGAATCCATTTCATAAACTAACAAAAAAAGGGTTTGAACATTTACTTGATATCAAAAGCAACAATTTTGAGTCATGTACATTGTTGCTTGATCATGCATTAAGTTGCAGGCACAGTTACATAACCATCATCATCATCATCAGAGCTGTCTATTTGTTCGCCTAAGCCTGTGATTCTTCCCTCTGGAGGTGGGACCGGTTGACTGCTATCGTTGATAAAATGTTTTGCTAATTCAAATAAAACAGATAAAAATTAAAAAATTAATCACCATATGTATCAATACTTAATTAACTTAAATCAATGCTCTGATACCAATAATACCTATAATACCTGATATCAAAATCTTCAGGGCAATTGCCTTCATGAATCTAAATTCCCCTTCGTGAGCACTAACAAATTTACCCTGAAAGATCATAATAAAAGCGTTTTTTTTTTAATTACAAATTAGTAGGTTAAAATGTAAAAATATATACATAAAATTTGAGAAAAGAGGGTTTAATTACTGTTTCATTGTACAAGATTCCCACAATTTGATCTAGATTAGCTTGATGCCTCAAAAGAAAAGGACGTAAATGACTCATGTACAAATGTTTAGCACCCTGTAGAACAATAAAACAAACTCCAATATCATTATTCTTTTTACTTTTAATTTAGGATATTTGAGAAAGAAATTGGTTACATTGGTAGTGGGAAGTTGAAGCCAAACAAGAAAAGCAAACTTCATGTGATGGTATAGTGGAAACCTGAGAAAAAAAGCCAATAATTACATATATGCCACTGCCACCTTCAATTTGAGAGTTGGGATAAACATGATAATACCATGAGATAATTTTATCTGCAAATGTTTCTGCAATGCTAAAACTCCCATATGCTGCAACCAATAAACCCTCCAAGATATTACCAATATCATAAAGATTTTAAAATAATAGATAAATGTAACATAAAATAAAACTTATGTTGAAGTTTAGGTCACAGCATTACCAACCTGCCCAGTATAAAAGCCATTTTTGTTGATCAGTTGAATTATTTGTTTCAATGGCTTTAAATGTAGAGTACACAGGTAAAATAACACCTACAGAACAGCTACAGAAAGAACACAATGTGTTACAATTTGAAAAATGGAATTCATATACTTTCTTTCATATCTAAGAACATGAAAACCTATTCAATTTGAGCAATTGGGACTAATAGAATAATTTATATGCATTGAATTCAATTACTCAATTACCATATGACTCAAGTCAAACCTTACCATGCTGTTTTTAGGACAATGTTGGATCCAAGTGGGCAAAGAAGCAACTTCAATCCAACCTGCATTACATGAAAAATCCCCAAATTTATTGAATCATCATTGGTAGAATAAACCTTAGCTCAAAAATATGTTTTCGTATATTGCTAGACAATTTAATATCTACATATCTACAAAGTTTTTCCAACACATTGACGAAGATGATGAACACGACGAAGTTCCATAACGGCATACCTACAATTCAGCGTCCTCATTTCATCTGATTACTAGTTTTTAATTGGCAACATGTTTCTAGTCAAATGATTTCAACTTATCGCGTATTAAGTTTATCAAATGTCGTGTTTTTTGGGGAAGAATTGAACGATGACATAAGAAATGAAAACAGATACCGATTCAAGAGAAATGATTTCAAATTGTGAAATCGACGTTAAAAACAAAAGAAACCCTAACATAAGGAGTTTGAGATCGATTACCTCGCTCGGGATATTTGAACCTAGGATCGACATCGTATTGAAATCGGATCTCTGCAATCGGATTCTGTAATCGATACAGTGATCAGAAGGCTATTAGATCCGGAAACGCAGGTTTAAACCTTTAAAGGAAATTAGGGCGGAGACCGTTTATGTTGTTGGCGGAAAATATTTACATTCCGGTCCAGCAACTTTATCATAAATCAAAAAAGGCCCTTCAACGTTTTTGATTTGTCACTTTTAAATGCTTAACGCTTACATGCTTAAAAAGTAGAGGAGGGAAGGGGTTTGGGTGGGTTTTACTTTTTAGAATCAAATTGCACATCACGCATCGATTTTTGTACATTTGAATCAAGAGAATAAGAGATTGTGGATGTGGGAGATGATATTGTTCACGAATGAGGTTATTCATCGACGCTCTCAAACCACAAGTTTACGCCATAAAATCTGGTTACACTCCTACACTTTTTGCATGCAATCAGCTTATACATTTATACTCCAAACATGGATTCCTACAAGAAGCCTGCAACCTGTTCGACGAAATGCCTGAACGAAATGTCTTCACATGGAACGCCATAATTTCAGCCCATATAAAATCCAACAACTTACCCAAGGCCCAACTTCTCTTCGATGCTGCCCGATGTAAAGATTCCGTGACCTACAATTCCATGTTGTCTGGATACGCAAACAGTGAAGGTCATGAAACACAAGCGTTTGATTTATTCACACAGATGCATTTCACAGGGTATGAATATGATGTTCAGATCGATGAATTTACTCTCACCACGATGTGTAATTTGACAGCGAAGATTCGGAATTCAAGATATGGGAAACAATTACATTCGTTCATGGTGAAAACTGGAAATAATCTAAGTGGGTTTGCAGTGAGTGCGCTGGTTGATATGTATTCAAAATCTGGGTGTTTTAACGAAGCTTATGAGGCTTTCCATGGCTGTAATTTTGAGTCAGTGGATGTCGTTTCCAAAAATGCAGTTGTTGCAGCTTGTTGTAGAGAAGGAAGATTAGATATGGCTATGGAGATTTTTTCAAATCAATTAGAGTTAAACGATGTGGTATCATGGAACACGATGATTACAGGTTACACCCAAAATGGGTATCATAAAGACGCCATTGAATTATCTTCTTTGATGATGAAAAACGGATTTCAATGGAATGAACACACTTTTGCTAGCGTTCTGAGTGCTTGCTCTTCTACAAAAAGTTTAAAATTGGGGAAAGAAGTTCATGGCAGAATTGTGAAGAACAGAATGAACTCGAATCCTTTCATTATCAGCGGAATCATCGATCTCTACTGCAAATGTGGCAACATGAGGTACGCTGAATCAATCCATTCAAGAAATAAAATCGAAAACATGTTTTCAACTACTTCAATGATTGTAGGATACTCTTCACAACACGATATGATAAAAGCCCGAAAACTTTTCGATTCTTTAAAATCTAAGAACACTGTAGTCTGGTCAGCTATGTTTTCCGGATACTTAAACAGTCATGATTCTTCAGATGTCTTCAAACTCTTTCAATTCTTCAAAATTCAAGAAAAAACAATCCCCAATTGTTCGATTCTTGCAACTTTGCTTGGTGCATGCGCATTACAAGCAATCATCGATCCCGGAAAACAAATTCATGGGTATTTAATAAGAACGATCGTTGAAATCGATTATAAAACAATCAGTGCGTTAATCGATATGTATTCGAAATGCGGGAACATAAAATACGCAGAAATAATCTTCAAAAGTTCGAAATTTAGGGATCTGGTGATGTACAATATCATGATATTAGGTTTCGCTCACCATGGTTATGAAGATAAAGCTTTTGAGCTCTTCGATAACATGGTGAAATTAGGGTTTCAACCGGATAACGTAACTTTCATCGCGATTTTATCGGTTTGTCGTCACTGTGGGTTGGTTAAAACCGGCGAGGATTATTTCAAATTGATGACGGAGGTTTATAAAATCGAACCTGAAATCGATCACTATTCGTGTATGATTGATCTATATGGGAGAGGTAATGAGGTGGAGAGAGCTATGGAGTTTATGAGGAAGATTCCGGTGGAGTTAGATGTGGTGGCGGTTGGGTCGTTTTTGAGTGGGTGTAGGGTTCACCGGAAAGGTGAGCTGGCACGGGAAGTGGAGGAGGAGTTGTTGAAAATTGGCGGGAAGAGTGGGACTAGGTATGTACAGTTGGCGAATGTTTATGCGGCGGAGGGGCGGTGGGAGGAGGTGGGGAGGATGAGGAAGAAGATGAGAGGGAAGGAAATTGGTAAGGCGGCTGGTTGTAGTTGGGTTCATGTTGGTGGGAAAGTTCATAGTTTTATCTCCGGTGACACGTGTCATTTGGAAATGGAAGGTGTCTATGGTATTTTAGGATTATTGGTTATGGAAATGATGGAGACTGAAAAAGTTTTATATGAATTTTTTTGAGGTTATTTACGTCTTTTTATATCTTGTCTCATTTTGTTCTATCTTTTTGAACCTTGACAACGATATCGATTTTAGTACAATACATGACACTATTAGTTTATTATCTTGATAACAATACATAAAGTTTGGTATATTCCAAAACATTAGAAGCTTCTAGAACCTTCTTCATTCAATGTTGGAAATTATACATGGTCTTACAACATAGACTGAGAAAAAACAACCTTTGCACCCAAGTACACCGATCTTGCATCCTCTGCACAAATAAATACACTGTAAGTATCCAAATTCTTCCAAGAAAAATGTAACATTTCCTTCTTTAGAATATTTTCAACCCTAATTTACCTATTTTGCCCATCTATACTACAAACATACATGGATCCTTTACATGCCACATCAGCAATAAAAACATGACATCTCATCATGAAAACATACCTGCAATATGGTCCAAATCAAATTGAAGAGGCACATTGGTCTCCACTTCAACAGTAGCTTTAGCAGCTGCAATTCCAACTGCAACACTTTGCATTAAATCCAAACCACCACAAACAGACGCCACCACACCACCCACCAAACAATCCCCAGCTCCGGTCAACCTCACAACTGCCGCCAATGACACCGCCGGAAAATGGACCACACCACCACCACCACCGCCGGAAAACCGGCCCACCGGGCAGACTCGATTTATAGTTTCTTGCAACCTTTTGTTATTGTTGTTTCTTTTTGGGCCAATAGAATGAAGGAAATTGAAGTGTTTTTTGGAACATAATAATACGCCTTTTGATCCAAGGGTTAGAATGACTACTTTGATGCCATTTTCTAACAAAATTGAGATTGCTGGTTTTAGTTGTTGGAATAGAGAGGTTATTCCAGAGGCTTCTTTTTGAATTGGGGAGAAGGTGTGTTTGGGAGATAGGGCATTTGCCATGGCAATTAATTCCTCTTCATTCGGTGAAGTGAAGGTTATCTGTAAAAAATCAGTATTTTATTTTCAATAAGTTTATTATAATTCACGTGTCAAAAAAAAAAAAAAAATTGGTGTCAAATTTGCAAGATACACTATTAATGAAACAATATTTCAAGCTTATTATTTTTACAATAGAGGGTTAAAATAGGAAACTCACATACTTGGCAACTGAAACAATTCTTCTTGACTTGGCTACAGATACAGGCTCAAACCACACTGGGGTACCCACCTCCGCTGCCACTGCAAGTAAAAAGATTTCATTAGACATTGGGGGGGGGGGGGGGAGGTACATATACATAGACATAGTACATACATTGACAAGATGCTTCAAGAGCTACTGGACTTAAGTTTGCATCAACCATGACAATAGGAGCAGATGATATATTTGATTTAAATTGTTGAATCCATTTGGGTGTAAGAAATTGTTCCTGTATCAAACAACAAATATAAGAATGGAAAAAGTTTACAAAAGTGATAATATGTAACTTACAAGAGATTCAACACTTGCAACAGCAGCTGCAGATTCTCCTTCAGTATCAAAAACAATGGATACAACTGGAGTCTCTATCTCATTGCCCATTCGAATACCTTTAATAAGATTGTTTCTTTGTTACAAAACTGTAACTCATGAAAATTCCTGTGAAATTTCAATCAAAACTAAAAAAAATCTACCTTCTGTTGATAATCCTGTAGATTTCCAGTACTCTAACAGCATATTTCCTGTTGCATTTGAAAATTTACATTAGCAATTCGTAAGTAGTGTTGTGATTTGATATTTTGATTCATACTATATTGAATTCGAACCTGCAATGTCCGATCCTAATGCGCTTATCATGAAAGGCTTTGTTCCAAGCTTTGATACACATTCGGCAATGTTCCTTGCTACACCTCCCGCTGCATAGCGCACCTGAATATTGGATTATATCGACATTGAATTGTTTGTTTCTAACAAATTATCATCATTTTCAAACTGGAAGTATCATCGATGTACCTTGCCAGGAGCGGTGGTTCTAGGGTTTGGAGGAATAGAAGGAATGGCGTGTATGTCTAACACCATACCACCAATTATCACAGCCTGCGCTTCACCTTCTTCCTCTTTCTGATTTTTGCTCTTAACTAGCCACTGCAATCGCTCATCGGAAGACCATAATGAGCATTTAGACATGTAACAGGCTAAAAAAATTGAGAAATCGTGAATAATTAAGCAGATACAGATTGACACAAAAACTTGAGAAATTTAACTGAGGAAAGAAGATAAATTTGTTGGTATACGTGTGGTTTTTGAGGAGAGTGACGATCCATACTGCCTCCGAACAACTCCCTTGAATTATCTCGAGCTACTGCAGTACTACCGATGAGTGATATAGAGTTTCATATGAGTCCGACGATGAACACGACGATGATTTATGAATCAAAGCAGGGTCTCTATGATACGCAATGAATTTCAAAGATCGATTAACAAAACATTAGTACTGGATATTAATGGCCCTAGATCTTGGAATAGTAGTTTCACAACTAGTTAGGGGGTGTTTCGATTTTTAAATAAAAATGTTTATTGATTTATTGGGATGATAAAAAAAATTATAAAAATATTTTGATTAGCTGAATTAACAAGTTAAAAAATGTTTGATTAAATCTTATTAAAATTAATTTTTTAAGCTATGGTTAAGAAGCTAAAAAGCTTTAAACAGACATGTTTTAAATTGTTTTTAATTTTTTTTAAGCAAATAGAAAAGTTAATTTAAAAAATATTTTTGAGTTTAAACATCTTTTTTAATTTATCAATTTTAAAAAAAATAATAATAAATATATTAGTTGTTTTGAAAAGGAATCCTAAACACCCTTTAGTAGGGCTGTGTATGGGTCGGTTTTGGACCCAAACCCAACCCAACCCATAAATGTTCGGTTTCTGGTTTTCAGAATCCAATAGGATCGGTTTCTGGTCGGTTCGGTTTCTTGGGTTCTGAGGTCGGTTTTTCGGTTTCTTGGGTTCAACTCATACACTCACGGGTTCTGGGTTTAAACCCATGGGTTTTGGGTTTTAACCCATTTTCCAAAAATGAAGCAAAAAAGTTAAATACTTCAGAAACACCAAATTGAAGTTAAATACTTTAAAAAACATGAGTCTTACAACAAAATAGTCTAATACAAGTTACAACCAAAGCCCAAAGTAGTCTATTATAACCAAAAAAACAATCAAGTATGAGTCGGTTTCCCGGGTTGGATGGGTCGGTTTCTTGGGGCGGTTTGTCGGTTTTAAGTATGGGTCGGTTTCTCGGGATGGATGGGTCGGTTGTTGCGTAAAAACCGAAACCGAACCCGATTTTTCGGTTTTTAAAAAATTCAAACCCTAACCGTCAGTTTTGCTTCGGTTTCGATTTTTTCGGTTTCGGTTTCGTCGGTTTTAGTCGGTTTCTTGGTTTGTTGGTTTGGGTTTGCTCACCCCTACCCTTTAGTCATCATCCTTCCAACACTATTTTTTGTACAAAAGATAAATACTTTACTATACAGTTTGTTAAAATATACCCTTCAATTTATTAGGTTTTTCTATTTATTATTATAAAATTTTATAAAATAAAATTATAACCAAATAAATTATTACATTTAGAATGTACCTAATCATATTTAATAAACTAGGCAAAATTTATTTATTAATTATTATATTTAAAATATAGACAAAACTGCAAAAATGGTCATTGTGATATGTATTTTTTTCGGGATTTTGTCCAAACTACGATTTTTTGGGATTAGTGATCTTTTTGACCATGCTTGTATGTGGTTTTAGTCCCTAGGAAAACTGAAAATACTAAATAAACAAAACTACATAAATGGTCTATGTGGTATGAATTTTTTTTCCAGGTTTTGGTCAAAACTCCGACTATTATGGATTGATAGTTTTTTGAGCTAGTTTCGTTGCGTATTTGGTCCCTCCGAATATTGAAATGACTGTAATACCCTATGATGTATTTATTTTCTATTTTTCTTTCAATTTTGAAAAATCTAATACTCATTTATTTATTTTAATAATTAAAAAAATAAGAAGGGCCCCACACCTCTCTCTCTCTCTCTCTCTCTCTCTCTCTCTCTCTCTCTCTCTCTCTCTCTCTCTCTCTCTCTCTCCTTAAAAAGTCCCTACTTCCTTTCAGCTTTGTCCTCTTGTCTTCTTCAAGCGCAATCCTTATTCCCACCCTCTCTTCTCTATTTCTCTTGGAAAACATTCACATATTAATGGCGGTAGAGGAACCGGTTATGTCTGTATTCGTTGGAGTTCAAGTGAGAAAGCAGAGGATGATGTGTCGGTGGTTGGATTTATGTTCACGGTGGAGACAATTAACATATTTTAAAAGTCGTTGGTTGGGAATGATTCTTGGGTGAAACTCGACAACCATTCTAATTCCGTCAAGTCATCATACTGTATAACAATTCAACTAAAAATTCACAAATTATCTACTAGAATCAACTAAATTGAAAATTAAAACAAGTTTCATGACGTGATCCGGTCATAATTACCGGGAAAAAAAGTTCATCTCCGGAGAAATTCGACTCAGAAAAGCTACGAGATCTCAAATTACCGAAAAACAGAGCTTTACTACCAGAAAACTAAGGAACTACATGGAAAACGACGTCAATAACGATTCTCGGATGAACACACACACACACCTATACACCTGTAGTTTATGTTCCTTGACGAGGGTCGGGAGAGTTTTTTTACCCAAATCAATGTCGTTAGTTGCTTATATACTTTAATCCATTAATGGTGTTGAAGTTGCAGGAAACGTAAACATGGACGAAGAAGAAGTTAGCCTCCGAGGGATTAAACGTCTGAACATCGCTTTTCATCAATGCTTTATGAATCGCCACCTCCAAAGCAAATAAATGATTATTGCACCGTTTGTTTGATAGCAATTGTTGTTGTATTTCGATGGTAATACGTTTACATACACCTTCAAATCCTTCAACAAACCTTCAAATCGACTCAAATCAACCCTACAGAAACTTTGTCAATCAAATTATCAAATTCAAACCTTGATTAATTTTGGGTTGTTGGGGAACTAATTCAAAAAAAGGACAAGAAACAACATTGGATTGAGAGAGAGATTATCGTTTTCTTCAACGAATTTGTATTGGATTCATGATTGTTGAGAAACTTAGCAAAGAAGTAAAACTAGAGGGAAAACCAAAAAAGCCATATGAAGTATCTGCAAAAGGGTTTTTCTGGTTTCGAGTTTCTGGTTCGAAAGAACTTCATCCTCACGTAAAATTCCGTCATGTTCTTGGTGGATCTATGAAGCTCCACTATTGTCGAACATCAATAAAATATTTAAACGACCATGCAAAATTTAGATTAGAAGGGTAAAACTTGTGAAGAAGGTGATGATGACGATGATGGAGATGGAAGAGTTTGAAACGGAGATTGGGGAGTTGTCATGGATCGAAATTAGGGTTAGGGTTTGGGGGAATTGAAAGATCCAGGACATGTGTTACATCCACAGCCGGCGGCGGAAGTGTTGGGGTGAGTGACGTAACGAATGGATCACAAAAGCATACATTGAACAATATACAAATAACTATATATATATATATATATATATATATATATATATATATATATATTACAATACCCATAAATATGTCGTACATCATTACATCATTACATCATTACAATACCCTTCTTGCTTATGTAAATAACTCATTGATGGGTTTATTAGGTTACAACAAAATGCTCAATGCAGAAAATCACTTAACAGTTAAGAAAATGGCACATGCAACCTAAAAGGATCTATGTATTACACTTTGAAGACAACATAATTTGAATAAGAAAATCTAGCATAAACCCTAGTTAATTCGAAAATCATACAAGTGTTAAGGTTTACATACCTTAGAATTGTTATTGTAAACAATTCTTTGAATCCCTTCATTTGTGTCTTTAGAAAGCAAGTATCAAAAGTATGATGACTCTAATGGCTCACACCCAAAACCCTAGAAACCCTAGAATGAAGAGGAGAGAGAGAGAGAGAGGAGAAGGATAAAAATTCCGTTTCTAAGCTTTTAGGTAAAGGTGTCAACGAAATTTGATGCCCAAGGGGTCCTATTTATAATTTAGGTAACTTGCAGGCAAAACTAAATTTGAATTAATTAAATAATGGATTTAATCGCAATTCAAATCATACCTTATTAGAATCCACGAGGCTTCCGGAAACCCTAGAAGAGTTCCCAAAATCGTCCACCCTTGGATGGTTCTATAATTGTCTCTTTTGTTCAACTATTGAACAATTACAGTTCACCCCTTGCACCTTTAATTAATTCCAGTTAATCCCGAATAAATTCCAGATTAATTTTGATTAATAATTAATCAATTCTAATTGATTTATTATTAATTCATTAACCATATAAATTAACAAAATAATTATTTAACTACTGATCTCATATTAATTTATTGATTCTGCTTCTTTCAGATTTTTGGTTCCTGTATATAACCGATAAAATGTATGTAACAAATACGAGGAGAAACAGTGTCAGAAAGTGTTAGAAATTGAACAATCAAGGTTTGTTTGTGGCACTTAGGAATTCGAAGAACATCAAGCTTACGTGTCATATATAATGTGTTCATGACTTTGTGATAAATATCAATACAAACGTGTGGCTTAGCTTAACGAAGTATCTATAACAATTGTCAAAGTGATAAAATGGGTAAATCTTAATTTTGATTTTTAATTTTGACTATTTGGTTGATTTAGGTAACAAATATTGAAACGAGAGTTCAAAACCTACTTTATACCCTCCAAAATTAAAACGAGAGGTCAAAACCTACTTTATACCCTCCAAAAAAAAAGTTTTAGAACTAAATACTTAATTACAGTAATATAATAATATCAAATGCAATAGAAAAATCACACTCTATATGGTTTGTTTTTTTTTTTAAAGATTAAATGTAAGTTACATGAAATAGACAATAACATGTTTCACTACAACAAAAGATCCTTATGCCGACGACATTTACTACCCATATGCTGGCGACATGTTGTCGGGAAAGCTTATAACGACGACAAGTCGTTGGTAAAAAGTCGGCGTGATAGGCCCCCTGTACCGACGACAAGTTGTTAGAAAAGGGTCGTTGAAAGTGATTTCCGAGGAAAAAAGTTATTATTTACTTTTACAGATAACTTGTCGTCATTATAGAGACAATTTATACCGACGACATGTCGTCAGGACACATTGACATATTGTGACAACATGTCGTCGGGATAAATGTGTAACAATTTTTCCATTTGAGCTATTCGGTATATGTCAAAACTGTTTTTATATATAACTAGGACTTATGCCAATGACATGTCGTCGGTATATCCTATTTTTTAAAAAAAATATTTTATATAGATTTTGTTATATATACCAAACCTATTTTTTAAAACAAATCCAGATAATATGTAGCATAATGTCAAACACTAAATAAGTATAACAAACCATCATAATTCGAATTCAAGACTTAAAGTCTACTAC